GATTTCAGTACTACATAATACTTCTCTTAGTGAAGCGGATGCATTCAAACACTTACTAGACACTATTATCAAATATAAAAATTACATAGGAAACAAAGATCTATTACAAATCTCAAACAAGAGGTTATAGATTAAAGCAAACATACAAAAAACACCCTTAAGACAACATCCCACATACAGATGTGCTAAATTTACATTAAGATTGGAAATTGTTGGGGTAGGCCTTCCTGGTGGGGACAGGTCAAGGTGTCACAGGGTCCATCCTGTAAGTGGCTGGTGAGAGACCCATTGCTTTGCCTTCTGAAGTGCTATCTCCATTAGCATTAGCTGCTCCAGTCAGGGGCCAGGCACTGGGGAGGGACTATGCATCCATCATTTCTGATGCCCTTGTATGACTCCCCTTCTCCCCAACTAAGGTTCATCTACTTGCAGATGGCACAGTATGAGTCATTTTAGCCCCTTTTCCCTATTTAGGCATAAAAAGTAAATGTCTGCTTCAGATCTAAAACTGTGTGGGGTTTTGGTTAAATGTATAATCAAGCAACAAGGGTAAATGAGTGATACTAGCTCCCTCATTTTTATGGAGAAGACATTATTAGCCATCTGGAAAGGGGAGAGGGAAGAAATGGATTTACAAGAGAAGGGAAAGGATGCAGAAGGTAAAACTGAGGCTCTAGCTTTGCTTTAGTGTTAGCACACCCACATAAATGCATGCACATCTGGGCACAGAGGAGCTCCTTGACATGGAATTGAAAACAAAAGCATTTCTACTTCATGTAACAAGTTATGTTTATGTATGCTTGTGCTTTTACACCATAACTGGCTTGCACTTGTATAAAGGAGCTTCTCTGCCAGGGACTCAATCAAGGAACCTAAATTCTACACTTAGGAAAAACAAGTAAACAACACTAAAAGGAGGAAGTAGAAAGTGTTTTCCCATTTTCCTAGGCACAGGGCAGGTGTTCAAGAAAATTTTCGGAGGGCTCCAATATGGCAGCAAAGTAGGTAGGTATTATACTCACCTCCTCCCAGGAACAAACTGGAATTACAACTATATAATATATAGAGCAAGCAACCTGAATAACCAAGTGAAGACTAGCTGAACAGAAGTGTTATAACCAAGGATTTACAGAAGCCACATCTAGACCAGTAGGCAGGGCAGAGACATGAAAAGGGCCAACCCTAGCCCCACATGTGGTGGCTGAGGTTCTAGAAAAATATCTCAGCTGTGGGCGTTCCCCCTGAGAAGTGTGGGGTCTCAACCCCAAGCTGTGCCACGCAGCCCAGAGCACCAGAGCTGGAAAGAGGCACCCACATAATATTTGGCTGTGAAAATCAGTGGGGATTCTTTCTACCAGGGAGACACAGGGGTCTGCTAAACACACAGGCACCCTCTTAAAGGGCCAATGCACAAAATCTCATTCACAGCCTCTCACCCTGGGCTCTGGCAGAGGGAGGGCAGGGCAGACTAGTCACATGAGGAGACTGGGGTTTGTGGCTCTGGGAGAGGTAAAGGGACAGCCTCCAGGATCCCTGTGCTGTCACTCTCCCACACCGCAGATGCCATCATTCTTGGGTGGAGCACTCCCCTCCATACATCATCAGCCTGGGGGAATGTAATAGTCCCATCCTCTGGACTCCATCACCCCACCCCATGGAGCTTGCACCCTACTGAGTCAGCTGCTTAGGCTGGGGTGTAGAGGTCTGGGCAGATTCAGGAGGTGTCAGTGACTTAGTTATAAATCTTTGGGGCAGGGGTCATTCTCCCAACTTTCCCGTGAATCTAACTGGTGCCTCCTCCTCACAGGACACCCACTACCCCACTCTCCATGCTACTCATGGCTGCACCTTCTCAAAGTCTAGGCAGAAATTGGGACAGAGTTGAGTGGCTCTGGCAGAAAGGCCACTTCCTTTACCTTTTCCCAAGCCTGACCCACACCTCCCCCTAATGGAAGATCCACTAGCCTCATCTGGCAGCACAGCCCTGCTAAGATCAGGCTCCTGTCAGAATCTAGAACAGAGTTGTGTAGCTCTAGGACAGGAGCCATTTTCCCTAGCACACCCAACTGCTGCAGAACCATCCCTTCACATGGCCAAATCTTAGTCTGTTTGGGCCTGAAAAACTCTGCTGGCCTTACCCTCACAACTCCCTGAGAGCTGACGCTACCACAGAGGCGTGTGAGCACATAGGAGGTGGCAGCTAGACATTGCACACCCTGGGCCATTTGCTAAGCAGCCTCAGACCCAGTACTGGAACCAAGTTTGAACCTCTATCAATCTGGTGAACACCATTCACCCCTACATGGTGATTCACTGAGAACCTACCTCATGCAACTCAAATAATGACACAGGCTCTTTCAGTAACTAAGCTTAACAGTAGCCGGCAGGTGGAGGCAAGTCTCAGGGTGCCTTGGACTTTTGCTGACCTATCCCCTGTCCCCACGTCGGTAAAAGCTGGCCTTGGTGTACAGCTTGATCCTTCCTGCACACCCAGGCCCAGCAGTGGATCACTTTGTAGCTCCAAACAGGTTGCCCAGAGCCAGTTACAGGGAGCATCTGACATTGGACCTCACCAGAATCTCTCCTAAGAGGCCCCAGAACCAACACACCCAGAGGCCAGCTTCAGACAACAGAGCAAGGTCCAATTAGCTTCACAAGCGGCATATCCAAGGGGAGATTTCGACCCTGCTGAGGTGAATTCTGCTTTGGGTGGTCAGCACCTGCACAATAGCTTGTATACCATGATCTGGGTTGATCCTCACAGTCAGCCACCCTGAGGGGTGACCCCATACACAGATGGGACAATAGTAATCATGAATCAGTTATAACAGAAGGGCCCATATAATTCACACAAGGGACATTCTTAGAGCATCCAGCTCAGGTTATCAAGGGGACTTGCCACTGGGTCCCACAGGACACCTACTACACAATGCCACCCTGTCAAGACTGGGAGACATAGAATAGAAACACATACAATAAATAGAAACACACACAAAGAGGTAGCTAATATGGGAAGAAAAAGAAACATGTCCCATATGAAAGAACAGGCAGTATCTCCAGAAAAAGAGCTAATATAAATGAAGGCAATTTATCAGATATAGAGATCAAAAAATGGCTATAAGGATGCTCAAAGGACTTAGTGAGAACTACAACAGCATGAAAAAGGACACAGAAATAATAAAGAACCAGTCAGAAAGGAAGAATACATTATCTGAAATGAAGGATATACTAGAAGGAACAACAGGAAGTGGGTGAAGCAGAGAATCAAATCAGCAATTTGCAAAACAAGGTAGCAAAACGAAAAGAAAATTTTTTAAAAATATAGTTTAAGGGACCTTTGGGACAACATGAAGTCTAACAAAATCAACATCATAGGAGTACCAGAAGGAGAAGAACAAGAGCTCAAGAACATATTTGAACAAATAATGACCAAAAACTTCCCTAACCTGGTGAAGAAAAAAGACACACCAGTCCAGGAAGTGCAGAAAGTCCCAAACAAGGTAAACCCAAAGGGGCCTATAGAGATATTATAATTAAAATGGTAAAGAAATTAAAAAAAAAAAAAAAAA